TCGATGAGGTAATACACTAATGATTATTTCTGAAATGATGGTAAGGTAAACATCTTTCAAAAAATAAAGAAAAATCCCAAAATCTTATGAGGAAAAAAAAATTTTATTTTAAAAATTGCGGGAAAATTTATCGAATTTCGTTCCGGTTTTTTGGTTTTCCGGTTTTCTGATTTCCGGATAACGGGTTCTGTACTGTAATTGCAAAATAATTACAGGTTGGCCATTACTGGGAAAATTTTAAAAAGCTTTGACTAATGCATTAAGAAATTAAGATTTATTAAGTTTTATTAACTGTGTATAATCTTCAAGTACATAAAACCCATAAAATAAGAAAATACGAAGAAAACAATGAAAGAAAAAAAAATATAAAAGAGAAAAAATTATTTGAAGGAGAAGAAGAAAAAAAATTACAAAAGTAAGCTGAAATAATAATAAATAAAAAAAAAATTCATATGAACGCACCTTAAAAATATATCCCACTACCCTCTATTTACACTTTAATTTCAAATTTTGTAACCTGGTAACTTAGTTCTGAAAATATTTTTAAATCATTTTTGTAAATTGTATCAATTGCATGACATCCGTTCTCTATTCTTGCTTTATATGTTTTTACTTATGAATTTTTTTTCTATTTTCCTTGAATTTTTGTGATTTTTTACCTGGTAAAATTATGTTTTTACGAATTGATCTCTTTTTGTGTTTCCCACACTATTGTATTGATATCTTTTGCTTCGGCTATATTAATACAATATTAGAAAGCACTATTTTTGCAGGTACAATCGTGTAAGGTGGATGACAAGATTATATTTTTATGTCGTTTTTTATAATTTTGATTACATTTTTTTGTTTTGTGTAATTAAATTTTAATAAATTTATGTTCTCTTTTAAATCTCTCTTTACCCTTTTTTATTTCTTTCCTTATTTCCCTTGTAATTTCCATATATACATACCTGCCAAGTCTCCTGTATTTTGCGACTATCTCCTGTTTACCTGTATATTCTCAAATTTCTCCGTATTTGTTGAAGAATGTTTAAAAAATTGGCGGTAAAATATCCTCTGGTAAAATTACTCAACAGATAGTGCTATTGCCAGTACTGCAGTATGTTTAGTGTTAATAGTTTGAGTACCCCTCGTGGTCAGGCAATGCGTGGGACATTTTCGTGGTTTTCCTCTCTGTATAACGAAAATGCAGTTGCATCAAAAATTCCTCCACAAAAGGCAAATTTCTCCCAATACTTGATCCAGGAGTTCCCTTGTCTTCTGAATTGGGTTCAAAATTACAAGGCTACGGAGTGTAACATTAGTAGCCACGAACCCATAAGCGGGTCAGCTGCTTAACAACAGTTATAAAATAGTTTGAGTAATTATAAATAATGGTTTAGAAAAATCTTCTTTAGATTAAGATTTATATACATTTTACTTAGCTAACTGTAAGTTCTGATATCATTTCCAACTTTGAATTTCTCTTTTTGACTTACATGTTTATGCATGATGTATCAATACTTTACACGTAACCTCAAATATGTGGCTAGTAAAATTTTCATTATTTTATTTCTCCAATGCTGGCAGGTATGTATATATATATATATATATATATATATATATAATATGCACACACACACCTTATTTCACCTTCAACATGACATTTCAAAAGAAGTTATAGCTGAATTTAAAAGTGTATGACATCATATTAAAAAATTTCTTGATGAGTTCCTGACATTGACATTTAGTTGCATTTTCACCTAAAAATGTTTGCTAAAATTTTGAGGTAAATTACAATGTGTTTGGCTCTATATTAAAGATTAGTTCTTGTAAAGAATATTGCTGTAGAAAAAAAATCTGTTTTTTTTTTTTATGCTCATGTGAGAAATTAATTAATAAAAATGTCTTTTGCAAAACGTAATTTCAGAAGAAAAAAAATTTTTCTTCTTAAAAGATGAGATTTTAACACTAGATTGCCCAAGGAAGGCATTTTGACTGCTTTTTTATTTTCAATTAGAAAAACAATGATGTATATAATGACACAATTTCTTAGAATTTTGTGACTTTTGTAATTATTTTTATTGTTGATATTTACTAATAACTTGTTATATAACTGAAAATAATATCAAAAATATTAAAAATTAATTTTGAATAAATTTCCTCATACATTAGTTATTTATTCACAATGCAGTCATTTTGACTGCTTTTGGGCAATATGGGTATTTCAGTCTTTCTAGTGTTCACTGCCTGTATAAAATACACAGACTCAATTCTATAATGCATCATATCTAAAGAATAACTTTTTTAGAGAATATTGTTGTCCAAAAATAGACATATATGACTAACCAACTGAAATAATAAAAAAGTTTCTTTATATTTTAAGATTTTAATGAATAATTTTGGTGCTTCATGGAGTTCGACTGCTGTGGGCTCTGCTCTGCAACAAATAAAAATTATGCCTAAACTAATGTTTGAAAAATAATAAATCTTACTTTTTCTGGAGTTATATGAAATTTTTCATTCTTGGAGTTTATTTTAAAACACAAATTTTTTTCTCCAAGCCAGTGCCTTACTGCTCTTGTGATAACTAGGCCTTCAATGAAATTGTATTAGGTAGATAGGTACTTTATTTGCGTCACATTAGAGCTGCTGAATGGGCTATTGGAGACAGTCTAGGAAACATTCCTGAGGATGATACGTAGACATGCCAATGCAATTTTGATCCTCTGCAAAGGGTGTGGCTCCCCTGCTTTGGTAGCCTGGCGACCTGCGCTAGAAGTCTAGCACTTTACTGTTGAGCAGTTTAACATAGACTGATACCGCGCACCCTCGGTTCCTCCACCGGCTGATCAAAGTGGTCACCCACCTGCTTACTGACTGCAGCCAGTGATACTTGACTTTGGTGTTCTACTGGGAACTGTGTTTTTAGGATCAGTCCACTGCGGGGCATGATTGTATTAAACAATCTATTCTAGGATAAAGTTAATTTTGTCCAAAAAAATTTTAAACTAGATTAAAAATTACTTATTTGTGATTTTTAAGCTAAGTTAATTATGTTGATCTACATTATTTGCTTATTTATGATACTTATGGTTGGGAATTCTTCTGGAATAAGCTTATTTCTTCCAGGACACTGGTAGAAATAAGCAAATATACAATATTACAATGCTTCAAAATATTAAATGCTTCAAAATAATTAAAAAAAAAAAAAAAAAACTTTGTGTAATAAGTTGCACCCTTGAAAATTTGCAAGTTCCTAAAATAAATGTCCTATAATGTGCTTTTAAAGTTTAGTTAAATTTTTTAATGATTTTTTGTTCAATCTATATATCAAATTTTGACTATATATCAAATTTTTTGAAATTTTTAAAAATTTCTACCTATTTAACTATTTATTTAAAAATAAACATTTAGTAATTTGTAAATTATAAAATGATATAAAAATTCTTTATTTTATATGTTATAAATAATGAGGACACCTTTAACATAAAATTGAAGAATTTTTTTACTTAACAACATTTGACTATGAAAATTAGTTTGCTATTTATAATTGTAAATAACATGTGATTTATTGTGTAATAATATTTAATTTGATTACCATATTTTTGAAGTTCTCTATGTACTAGTTAAAAATTTAAGTCATACTATACTTTTTTATGTAAAACATGTTAAGAAACTATTGTATCATTAATTAAATTTATTTTTTCTTTCAATTTTATCATTTGTGTTCTCATTTATTTGAAGCTGATTTATTGAAAGGCTTAGAAATTAATATCACTTAAACTATATTGCAATTTTAAATCTTTAAAATTTTTATTTAATATTTGATACTTTAATTTCAAAACGAGTTTATTCCAGAACTTTTTTTTTCTCTTGATTTTTATTATTATTTATTATTTATTTATTTTTTTGCCGTTTTTTTTTTTTTCCTTCGGAAGAAACTAGTAATCCCTGATATTGGTACATCTTAATAACAACTCTTGTAGTCTTAAGTCACAAGGTCAGAAAATTTTTTTTTGCATGTGATCGAGATGAGTATGATTTTAGGTGAAATAATTTTATTATAAATGATTAGCTGGTATGATTTTAGATCAGGAGCTCAGAGAAAAAATATCTGACTTTTAAAAAAATTTTATTAAAATAATTTCGAATATTATGTTTATAAACAAAAAAAAAAACTGTTAACAAAAAGCAAAATTTTTGTTTTAAAAATTGTTTCTTTTTAAAGAGTTTTCTAAATTTATGTATAATAGTTCACCTGTCCATAATGTGCTTTTAAATCAGGGCTGGTAAGTTTTTAACAGTTTTCACCACTGTTAAGACCAACATAAACAAATTCCTGTATCCAAAACTTGCAACTAGAACATAAAAATTGCATTTACATTGTGGTACAAATATTATTATTAATATTTTAAATACCACATTTCAGATAATATTCAAAGCCAAATATTAAATATTACTTTTCTTTTACAATTTGAAATATCTTGATAAGAAATTGTGCTGGGGAAAAAATAAAGAAAACTTTTACTAAATAAATTATTCTTTACTATATTTTTATTTTCAAAATTTCAATCGTATGCAAGCTCCTGAACAATTTGAAACGTTAAAAAATTTTTTTCTCAGAATATGCTTTCTTTCACATACACCATTCTTTCTCCCTTGATTTTTAGTTATTGTTAATTCTATATTTATATATTAGTATTTATATATTATGTTATCTCTATTTATATACTATATTATCGATATTTGTATATTAATTTAATTTTAATGTTTTAAATAAATATGCAAATTTATTTATTATTGTTTATATATTCAAATGAAAAAAAATTTTCCTACGCATTCAGATTTCTTGACTATCATTCTAGGTTTTTAACTATTTTAATCGGTTTTTGACAACTGAAACCAAACCCTGTCTTAGACCAATAAATATGTTTTCCCTGAAATTGTTAAAAATGTTTTTGTTTTTTTACATACTTCTACTTTATTTTGAATTAATTGTTTAAACTTACTTTATTTAGGCTGATTATCCAATGTGGTCATCTGGCACAGACATAATGCAGAGGCATGTTATAACTCACTTTTTGGAATTTAAAGTGCTATCTGTTCCAGTAACATAAGAATGAAGAATGTGCACACCCCCAAGACTAAAACCCAAATCAATGTGTAGCTTGTCTTTTCTGTGTGTCAGTGTGACTGTTGGATGTGATTTTAGCCCTCCTCACCCTCTTGCTCGAGGGGGAGGGCTATGAGGATGACCAGTATGGACAAAATGGAAAAGGCGAGCTCTGGATTTTCTACGTTAACGCCAGCCACGCTTCAAACTGCCTCCACCCCTGCCCCTTCTGTTCAACCAGTACCGAATATGACACCCCAACCACAGTTTGCTGAAATGGCGCAACCATATAATATTCAAAATCAAATTATGGGCCCATTGCAGCAACAAAATCGCGCTCACTCCAGGTCCATGTCGTCTCTACCCCCGGAGTCGTTCATGATTATCCGGAGCAAAGCGCTCAATAGACGTGTTATTATTAATGTTGGAGGTGTTAAGCACGAGGTTCTCTGGCGAACTCTAGAGCATTTACCTCATACTAGGCTTGGTAGACTTAGAGAAAGTAATACCCATGAAGCTATCATGGAACTGTGTGACGATTATAGTTTGGTAGACAACGAATATTTCTTTGATCGTCATCCTCGTTCTTTTAGTGCTGTGATTAATTTTTATCGAACTGGTAAACTTCATTTAGTGGAGGAAATGTGCGTATTGGCGTTCAGTGACGATTTGGAATACTGGGGAATCGACGAATTGTATTTGGAGTCGTGTTGCCAACATAAATATCATCAAAAGAAGGAACACGTGTACGAAGAAATGAGAAAAGAAGCAGAATCATTGAGACAAAGAGAAGAAGAAGACTTCGGTGTTGGACGGTGTGCACCCTACAAGAAGTGTCTGTGGGATTTGTTAGAAAAACCAACATCATCATTGGCCGCCAGAGTAAGAAAATATCTCCTTTTTATGATAACACATTTTTTAAAAAACTAAACTTTTAACTTTTTATTCTTTTAATTCACAAAACTGTCGTGTAATCAGAGGGGATTTACAGTGGTACACATTCTTAAACCACATTGACACCTGTTTATCTTAAAAACTCTTTTTTATTGTTCAACTCTTCAGTTAATCATATATGTTCAGATAAATACAGATTGTTATGCTTATTGTGGCGTAACTACCACTACGATTACTAAACATCAATTCACTAATTTATAAGGCATTGTACTCAATTCATTCTTGTGGTATTGATAGATCAAGGTTGACTTAGTCTAAATCTACATTTCCCACATTGGTGACCTGCAAACTAAACATGCCTATCTAGACACACGCCTATTTCGATGTATGGTCCACACTGAACAGTTGACTTGCTTTTTGTGAATGCGTCATTGTCTTCCTCGCTCTGTTGCTTCTCAGTCTCATTTACACACAATGGAATCCTGCTCAATAGTAACACAGGAGAGCTCACTCACACAACCGTGAACTTAATTCAGTTCTCACAGCTAACGCTCAATATCCGGTGACCTTAATACAGCTCTCCTGGTTTTTCGCAAATACGCCAACTAGTTGTAACATTCATCGAATTCTATCCCTGATAAAAAAATTGGGGGGGGGGTATTGTGGTGTAGCTACCACTACAATTACTTAACACTAGTATATAAGACATGCTAACTCAATTCAATCTTGGGGTACTTTTTGATAGCTGAAGTTTGACATAGTCTAAATCTACGTTCCCCACACTTGTCTTGAATCCTGTTTTTAAAATTGCTGTATAGTTTGTTAAATATCTCTGATCCTGATCTACAATATTTCGCAAACTAGTTAAAATCTAATCCCAAGACAGACTGAACAGTTAAGTTTCTATCCGAGCCATGTTTGCTAAAAATATATTTTATCACTAATAATAAAAACCATAATAAGTATAAGTTCAGAAAATATTGAGTTTGTACTCAAAGTTTAAGACACCCAAAATGGTAAATTCCTTAATGATAATATTATTAATTGCTAAGTCATCACATGGAACTAAAAAGCAATTATAAGTGACAATTTCACTAAAATATTAAGATTTGGAAGGAAAAAAAATTATTCTTTTCAAGCCATTTTTGAATAAACAATTCTTTTAACCTTTACTTTTTTTTTTTTTTTGCATTATAATTATCAAGTTTCTGCCCTTTCACTTATAACTTTACTTGGTGTGTTTTTCTTGATAGTTTTTTTCTATTCATATTAATTCACAGCATTCTGTTTTTTAAATTTCAAAATATTGGAAATCAATTTGCATTTCAATAACTCTTCATTACTATGTAATTTTAGGCTTGCCTGATGAATTAATATCATTTGTGTTTCTTCTAATTGGAAGTAAATACTACAAGGTTCACGTAAAATTTTAACTGCAAAATAAAAGTAAATAAATTTTGACTGTTTTTGTAAACCATCTAACAAATCGGTCAATCATGTCTTTGCATCCTTAAACTCTGTTTCTCATGTTATTTGGTGGAAAACTGTCTAAGGGAGAAAAGTTTTTCTACATTTGTTTCTGCATCCTAAGTATTCAACCAACTGATATTTTCTAGCTGTTTGTGCTGTTAATTACCATTGTGTATGCATATTGGAAATCTCTAGCCAGATGCGTTGAAAATTCAAACCTTCATTGATAATTATTAAAATTGGCTAGTAAATGTAATAAATTCTGAAACATAATAAATTTACTTCACTTTTTATTCATAACCATCGTTGAACAGCCGATCCAATCTTTTGAGTTTATGACTACTAATTTTCAACTCCATAACCTTGTTATTTTGAACCCAATCCAGAAGACAAGGGAACTCCTGGATCAAGTATTGAGGGAAATTTGCCTTTGTGGCAGACTTTTTGATGGAACCAACCAAAACTACAAAATCCTTCCACAGTTAGTTTGATGGCAAGAGGACTAACCCATAATTCGTCTATCTCTGAGGATATTTTACGTCTGCACTATGGTCGGTGCAAGCCTGATGTGGAATTCGTAACGACCAGCCATCACTGGGATTTGAATCCAATTCACCTCATTGGAAGGCAAACACTCTATCCCCTGAGCCATCACGGCTTGTGCTGTCCAATAGCGTGGGGTTTTAGGAAATAACACTCTTATATTCAACAAGCACTATTTATTAATTAATTACAGCATTTAGAATTTAGAATACAAGGGATGCGTCTTAACGCAACGCTAACAGATGAGGAATCTAAACTGAAACTTTTCGAGAGGTACAGTCCTAATTCGATTGCGTAGGCGTGATAGTTCGTAAACATAGCCTCGAACGGCTAAATACACGACACGGCTCAACTTGATTTTCTTTTATAACGGTCGTTGAACAGCTGACCCAATTTTATGACTACTAATGTGCAACTCCGTAGCCTTGTAATTTTGAACCCAATCCAGAAAACAAGGGAACTCCTGGTTCGAGTATTGGGAGAAATTTGCGTTCGTGGAGGACTTTTTGATGGAGCTAACCCATATTTATCTTTCATGGAGAGGAAGACCACGAGAACATCTCACGGTTAGCCTGATGGCAAAGGGACTCCAACCCATGATCCGTCTACTACAGAGGATATTTCACGTCAGCTTGATTATTATTAACAATCACTGGCAATGTTCTCCCTAAGCATATTTAGAAGGGTGACCCACCCTGCTTGCCCTTTCATCCCTATAAATGTTCCTTCTTTACCCTTTTTGTAAAAATTAGCCATCCTCCCATAAAATAACTGATTTTTTTTCATTCGTATTTAGTTTTTAAAAAAATTTAGTTACTGTTTAAATAGTAACTGCACTCATGTAAAATTGTCTGTGTTTATAGGTTTAATTCTGAATATTACAAATATTTTCTTTGTTAGAATTATTCTTAATTGGCTAAATTTTTATAAGTTTCTCTTCTTTTGGGAAGGGGTATATTAATGAATTTTGTATGAGATTTTAAAATTATTTTTTAAATAAATATTGTTTTTAAAAAAAATGCATCTTTATGTGTTTATTTTTTTATAATCCGTTTATATTATTAAAAAAAAAGCCTTAAAATTGTTAATAATTTTTTTTCTTTTTTTAGTTTAAGTTTTTTTGGGGGGGAATTTTTTTGGGGATTATGCACAGGGAATATCTTTTAGAATGTTTTTAATTTTTTTTTATTAACTATCAATTTTTCTCTTACTTTGATAAAGAGTGAGAAATATGCTCATAAAATAATATAAGAGGGTAATTTAAAAATTGTTAAGGATAAAATGTAATTTTTGCATAACTATTTCATATTTTGATTAATGTTTACGATGTTAAGTATGTTACTTTTAAAAACTCAAAAGTGCTCTTCTCTACGAGGAAGCACCCTACCCTTTTTTATTTCTAGGAAAAACTCTGCATGTGTTGTTATTAATTATTATTATTAACAAAATCCCTGTGATTGTTAATAATTTGGCCTTTCTTCGGGAGTTGTAGCTGAGAGTTTTTTGAATTTAGGTATTTAGAGTTTGTTGAAACAAATTTTAAGAAATATTTCACTTAAAATATTTATTCATTACTAATTCATTACTAATTTATAAAAGATAAAAATATTTTTTTAGTTAGAATTTGTTAATGTAATATTAATCTAAAGAATATCATGTGAAAATCAACAACCACAGTCTAAATTTTGTCAATCTTTTATCAAACAGCTTGCATTGTTTGAGATTATTTTTTAAAAAGAGTACAATTTAACCTTTTCACCAATATTAAAAGATAAATATATGTAATTGACAATTTTATAATAATAATAATCCCGGGAAACTTAAGCGGCAATATATTACTTGAATGAAAACTTCATTTGTTTCAAAAATATGCAAATCGGAAATAAATAACAGTCGACGTGTTTCAAGTGCTCAAAATTAGGTACCCATATTCAAGACTTAGCAGGCATGAAGAAAAAAAAGTTTTTTGAAACAAAAAACGTAAAATTACTAACTAAAAATGGAAAAGTAAAGGTGAGAAACAAAACTAGAATTACCACAATAACCAAGAGAGAAAAAATTATTAAAAACATAATAAAAAAAACCAGGTTGCCAAGGGATGCAAATCAGGGTAAAATTCATTTCTGTACACTATGGAGAGATGGTGAGGAACTAATGTCAACAAAAGAATCAGCATTCATATGAATAAAATAAGATTCCAGCGATTCAAGATGAGCTAATGTGACTGGGGGGAATAATTTTGATATTGTCGAAATTGAATTTATGTCCAAGACTTCAACAATATGCAATCTATGATTTCTCATATTCTTTATAACTGAATTATCTCGTTCCTTAAACTTAAATTTTAAAGCATGTTTAGTTTGTCTGATGTAGTCAAGGTCGCACTGGCAAAGAATATGGTAAATGCCTCAGTGATTATCAAAATTAATAGGATCTTTAAGAGACTTAAATTTAATTTGGTTAACAGGCCTAAAAAGGGTTTTCAAACCAAATTTGAAGACAATTTTGTGACAAACTGGAATAAAAAACGATTAAGTAACAAGTTCTCTTTAAGGATTAGAGGAAAAGAGGGACGTTTGGGTATCACTGTCTACTAAGACGAATGTATCATCAACATATTCACTATGAGAATTTAAACAGTTTAAAAACTAAATAATGCATGAATATGCCACCCAGAATGGGTGAGAGAGGGTTGCCCGTGGCTAAACCCTCAATTTGTATATAGAAATTCTGAGCCGTCTCAATACCATGTAGGGCCCCCGAGCGGAGAAATGTTTTGATCCTCTATAACATGTCCCATCGTTTGAAATCAAAATTAAAAAACTTCCATATACGTGATATAACGCATTTTTAAGATATGCAATAATTTTAAAAAATTTTCATAACCCCCGAAAACTTAATGAACGTAAAATAAAGCATTTTTAAACTATGCATAATTTTAAAAAAATTGAGATTCTGATCAGTTGCAATACTCAAATAATAAAATAATTTTCAAAACCATGGAAGCTAATTAAAATTATCAAATTGAAAAAATAAAGATACAACAAATCAAGAATTTTTTTTTTAAAGGTATGAAATATTTTGTCAAACTTAGCAGCTGTTAAAACTTTCAATGCACATCAGCCATAACCAGTTTAAAAAGTTGCCTTCTCATAGTGCAGTGTCATTCTAAACTCTTTCAATTATTACTTTATTTAACTGATTTTAAATACTTAACAGAGTTGTTGGTGGCCAAGCATTTTTAGTGACATTACTTAAAATGAAACTTGCTCATATTAATTTATTTTACAAGTGTGTATGAATCTTGCTGGCAAAAATTGAGCAGTAAGTGAGTACCTGAAAACTTCATTGGATGAAGAAAAATAGATGTTGCTTCCCTTTTTTAAGTTTTCCTGGAGATAAACTATACAAATTATTGGTGTTTGCATGGTAATCAATCACTATTGGTAGTT